CATCGGCCATATATTGTTTTCGTCCCACGCCTCTATGACCTGTTGCACCTCCAAGAATGTCATCGGGCGGCGCATGCGAATTTCGTGCTGGACCTTCGGCTTCAGCCCTATAATGTATTAACTCGTTTTTTCAGTCTCGTGTATATCGTCGATTTCGTTACAGATGGCGAGGAAAGATGGAGTGTACTCCATTACATAACCCATTTGACGTCACCCGTGCAGCTTCATACGAGTGTTTTCGCATGCAGATACATGTTCGAAGCGCCGGCAAAGTAGTGCACCTTACTGGTGACAGGTAAGGAACTCAGCCACACCAAGCAAGAATCCTATAGGATCTCCTCGTCCATCGCCTGTTGCCGGTCTGTCGGAGTCCCTCGTGACGTCACGTACTGTCGCTACCAACTTAATGCAGGTCCCCGTAATAAAGACATCGCAAACTTGACGCGTGTCTCATCGTCGTTGAAGAACAGTTCCATGGCGAACATCCACCCACTCAGCGTGGTGTGCTTCTCCAGTTGGTTGAACGCCCGGGGCATGGCAGGTTTGATCTTCACGACTGCCCGTCGCTCGCTCGAAGTTGTCGGCATGTGTCGCTGACGTCACTTGTGGTTGATGCGCGCTCACACGGTAATAGGCGACTGCTGACGCGCCGCACCACGCGTCTGGCGAAGGCTCACGTTCTTTTCTTTCAATGCAGCGTTCTCGAGGGCCATGGCTTCCACCTTCGCCATCATCTCGCCAACCTTCGTCGTCAGCACGAGTGCGCTTGCTGCCGCCTCTGCGACTCTGCTATTTGCTCGGGAGTCATATTTCTAGTACTACGGCGAGGAGGGCAATTGACCATGAATTACCCTAGCTAGCTAACGCCGCTAAAGACACTACGTGCACCTGGAGTGTTAGAGACGTGGAGCGCACACGACAGGGTCGGCGGAACTGAAGAATTTCCTGCACGACCGTTGGACAGCTCCTGTCTCCTAACGTGCGAGGTCCCTCTAAAAACTACCTCAATACGGAAGCCTAAATGGGCAAGAACGTAGCTCTGATACCAGCTGTTATGATAATCCCTGGATAGGAGTCGAGTAATGCAATAGTGAGGTCGTGATTTAAATGACGCACATGGCTAAATACAAGCACAAGTAGCCTAGCAAGAGAGCCTCGAGGAGGGCCACGAAACATACGTGAGGTGGTTTGGGGCGCCTCGGGACTCGGAAGTGTCGGACGCGACGCCGCGTATAGGCTTGGGGTTTCAAACGTAATTCGAACCTGAATTTTCGTGCCGAGCATGGACTTATGAAAGTCAGGGCTCTACTCGGGTCGAGCCTGGACTTCTGAAAGTCAGGGCTCTACTCGATGTTAGCGAAGCTAAGTAAGGAAAAGGGATTTTAATTACACACATCTACTACATCGGGGACAGAATTGTACTGCTAGAACTGACAAACAGTGAGCACGCCTCCAGCCCAGGCATAGCTGCATATATAGCGTCTAGGTAAGACGAAACAACACAAGGCGTGGTGGATCCCAGGTTCGGACAAAGCATTTCTCGCGATGCACCTGGATCTCTCCCATGTTGCAACCACCCTAGCAGTCGAGTGACGATGGCTTTGGGCTGCTTTAGTTGGAGAAGACCAATCGACCTTTCACGCCCAGTCGCCGCCGTGTAGACTCGCGACGCGAGTGGAGAACCGGCAATCCCAAGATGAGAACGCGCGCGAATCACCCTTGGTATTCTCGAGATACCTTTCCTTCCATACATTCTGGAAATGAAATCTCTGGGGCCGCTAGAGTTGGCCAACGCTCGTCGCTCCCAAGCCTAGACTTGTTCCATCGTACTGTATAGCAGTTGCGCATGTGCACCGACACCGCCGTGCGCTGCGACTGTGCAGTCTTCAGCGGGCATATACTAAAGTATTACCCAGCCGGATCAAAAGTCGCTTTGTCGCTTCCATCTGCAATTGGCCTCTGCGACGGGTCAAGGATCCCGGATCTTCGTCAAAGAGCCTTCCCGAGCAGCAGTTCCTCTAGTGGAAAAAATTGTAAACACGGAGCCAGTAACGGCCGGAGATCGAGTCCTAATCGCGTCAACAGCAGGTGTAAGCCCACCGTCCAGCGCCAGGTCTTTCGTACCTGCCGTACCTTCCTTACAGCCTTACCTCCCTCTACCGAAAGTTTGCAACTGGCAAGGCGCGTGCTCTTCGTTCGGTGTCGCTTGTCTTAAATCGTCGATCTCAGCTTTTATTTCGTTCCAACATCCCTCGGCCTTGAGTTCCTCAGATAGCTCGAACTTTCAATCCTAGCGCCCCCCTCCCTTCCGTGCGTCCACCGAGTCAGTGGTGACTCGCAATTTCTCCGAATTGGTTCTCCGGTCCCTTCTGCGTCATCCGTTCTGTCGCGATGAGGCTCCTTCCCACGCTCCGCGCATTGCACCTCGCGACGGTCTTCGCAACCATTCTGCCGCTGCTTGTGGTTCCGCAAACCCTCGCGGCGAAGCGAGCACCGGCGAAGAAGGCCCCCTCGCGAGGGGATCTGCTGCAGCGAGAGCTTTTAGCGGCGTTCAAGGACCTCGATAGGAAGCACCCCTTCTTCTCCGCTTTCGCTCAACGATTCTACACGGCTGGTGAGCTCTCTAAGGGAAGTGGTTATTCTTGCTCGTGCCATGCCATTGGATGCATGACATGATAGAATAACAGCGTTGGGTGTGTATGCAATCTGAGTCACCTTTTCCGTGTCGTTTTCTTCTTTCCTCCCCTTCTTTTATTTTCTGTTTCTTACAGCCAAGGTCAAGCTTATCACCTTGGACGGTCCGTCCACGATCCTTGTTCCATCAAACATCGGCAATCAGTTCATGCCGAAACAATGGCGGGCTTTTACTCTGCAGCAACGCATTCGGGTAATGAAGAATCTCATTATAAAGGGGAAGTTCAGCAAAGATCGGCTCCTAGCAACTGTTCCGTTGTGGCGGTTCCGCACCATGAATATGGGCCTGAAGCTGATCAAGATGAACAGCTATTCACAGAGGGAGTGCTACTTCAAAGCTGACGGAGGGTCCACATTTGGCCCGTTGAACATGGCTAATCTGAGCCTTACAAGGAATATTCAGGTGCATGGCATCTCAACAGTCCCTATCCCACCGAATGCCTGACAAGAGTGATAGAATGAGGCTATGGGGTTGGCAATAATAACTACGTCAGGCTGCTTCTTGTAGTGTGTCCTAGATGTTAAATTATATATTTTGATATATATAATGGTAGGCCCCCTTCTTGTATCCCTCTCTCTTCTATTCCAACTCTCCTCTCGATATTTTTCTCCTTCCTAAACCTCACGCCATTCTATGGCTCCTACCTAGCTATGTTTAACATGGTTTCAGAGCAGGTTGCTCTTCCTGGGCCTGCTTATCACGCTTCTGAAAGTCCGCTCCTCCCTCCTGTCCTCTCCGCGCCGCCGCCACGGCCATATCGTGCTGCCGTGACGGCGCCGTCGTGCTGCCGTGGCGGCATCTACGCGCCAGCGAGCGGACGGCAGCGGCCAGCGCCCGGTCTTAGCGCTGGCTAGCACGCCCGCATGCAGCCAGCGCTCCACACGGGGCGGCACGCTCCCGGGCTCCGCTGCTGAAGCCCCGCCCCCTTCCCCTGCATCCCCTCTTCCTCGCCGCAGCCTACGGCTGACTCGCACCGGCCGTCCCACCGTCGCGGAGCCCGGCCACGCCGCCGAGTGCTGCGTGCTCCGCCGCCGCCGGCAGCTGTCGTCGAAGCCGCCGCCGCCGCAGCTGGTGCCGCTGGCCACGCCGCCGCACGCCACCACCGCCGCCGCCGCTGTCGACGCTGCCGCCGTCGCTGCCGTTGCAGCCGCTGCCCTCGCGGTTGACGTCGCCGCCTCATGCGACGAGGGGTTGACCATGCTGGAGTAGCCGTCGCTGCTGCTGAGTATGGGGGTTCTAGGCTTGGGGGGTGTGTGGCTTAGTGTGCTGTGTGTGTGGTGTGCTTTCGGCTACCAAGCCTAGGGGGTGTGTTAAATTATATATTTGACATACATAATGGTAGGCTTGGTAGGTGTTACTGGATCCTACTGTAGAGGGTACAACCCCCCTTCTTGTATCCCTGTCTCTTCTATTCCAACTCTCTTCTCTCTCGATATTTTTCTCCTTCCTAAACCTCACGCCATTCTATGGCTCCTCCTCCTACCTAGCTATGTTGATCACTAGAATTGTTGTTGAATGGGGGAGTATTATTGTCATGTGCAATATGTATCATGATGCTTTGCCCATCATGGAAGATCTGGCAAACGACGGCGATATGGAAACGAAAGCTGTAAAAACATATATGTGTATGTCTTATAGGGTAGATAGGTGCGTACTCTTAGAGAGTACAACCCCTTAGCACAAAAGCACCTTGTATCTCTCATTCTAGTCAACTTTCTAACTCTGAGATGGTATCATGCGCTAGGTTAGGTCCTCCCCGCCCACCCGCGCTTCTGCCCTAGTCCTAGTGCCCGTTTCTTGCCGCCCGTCGCCTAGTGCCGCCCGTAGCCGCCAGCAGCCTGTAGCCGCTGGCCGCCCGTAGCCGCCAGCCGACCGTAGCCGCCAGCAGCTCGTAGCCGCCAGCCGCTCGCTGGCCCCTACTTGCCAGCCCCGCGCCCGCTGGCCCCGTGCTCGCCAGCCCCACGCTCGCCAGCCCCGCGCTTTCTGGGCCTGCGCTCGCCAGCCCTGCGCCCGCTGGCCCCGTGCTCGCCGGCCCCACGCTCGCCTGTTAGGATTAAGGACGGAGTCTAGGTGAACTTAGGAGCTAGAATTACTCAAAATATAAATCCGAAATTCTGGACAGAAAAGTCGTCTTCACAAGAAACGACGTCGACAAACAACTAGCCGTTGGAATGTCGCGAAACTTGGATATGTTGTAGCTCTTAATCTCAGCTACCGTTCCCAATTTGAATCATGTTGATTGATAAAGTATTCGCGACGCTATGGCTTTCGACGCACTAGGGGGTAAGCTGTAGGAGGAGAACTTAACTCAATCTCAAAGGTTCAATCAAAGTTCAAGAATCTCACAAGGAATTAGAAGGAGCAAGAGAAAGGTTGGGATAGGAAGAGAGGGATGAGAGGGAAGGTCCCAAGAGAGTCCCCAACCAAGGAAACCCCATAAGCACAAAGATTCCCTCCCTATAGGAACCTCAACTTTGACCTTTGTCCCTTCCCAACCAATCCATCCAAGTTGGCCACCCTTGCCAACCTAGCTTGGTTGTTCCCAACCTATTTGCAGCTGTTACAGTAGAGTGACAAGTTTCCCCAACCCCAAAGGTCCCAACTCCATATAAAGTCACCCCACAACTTCACTTAGTAACCGCCGCAATTGTAACGCAAGCTCATGAACTTTGAATCTTCATAGCTTTCGCGTTGTTGCTCCAATTGAAGAGATTCTTGTTGCGTCGGAAAGATCTTCTCAAGATCTATCATCACAAATACCTGCTCAAACAAAATAACACATAACACATTCCCAAACTCCAGAACACACACCACACAAATGCTTGCACATTCAAACCACACATGCAAGTTGAAAACATGGGATGGGAGGCAGACAGAATGTGATAGCATATGATGACATCACACAACAATCTCCCCCTCTGGCTGCCAACCATCATCCACCATACCACATCTCAAGCATGCATACTCAATGCACACTCATCCCAGCAAGCTTCATGCCCTTCCAATGATCCGCCTCCGCCAGACGCTTGGTGAAAATATCTGCTGCCTGCTGATGGGTCTTCACTATCTCCAGCCGCACCTCCTTATCAAGGAGTCTCCTCACCCAATGCCACTTAGGCCTTATGTGTTTTGTCAGCCCATGCAGACAAGCATTCTTGGCGAGCTTCACAGCGGACTCATTGTCACAAAACACAACTGTCGGCTCCTCCTGACCAACTCCCAACTCCTCCAACAAACGCCTTAGCCACACTACTTCCTTGGCCCCATGGTGTAAGGCCATGTACTCAGTCTCACATGAGGACAATCCCACCTCATTCTGCTTCTTGCTGCGCCAGCTCACAGCACCACCTCCTAGCAAGCACACATAACCCCCAATGCTGGTGCCATCCGCTTTCACTGAGTTGAAGCTAGCGTCAGTATAGCAACTCAAGAGCATCTCTCCACTCTTCACATCTGCAGCACCTCTCTGCAACCGCTGCCTCACTCCACTGTACTCCAATCCCACTGATGCCGTAGCACTCACATAGCGGACCAACCTCTTGGCCGCTTCCAGCTGCTCATGACTAGGGCGTGAGACCACACTAGCCAACCGTGATGTAGAAAATGCAATGTCAGGCCGTGTATGATTTGCAGCATAATTCAGCGACCCAACCATCGAATGAAACAGCTTCCTGTCACTCTCACCCACTACCTCCTCATCAGCACATGGCTCCACAGTAAACCCTGAAGGTAGTGGTGTTGCTGGCTTTCCCCCATCTTGCAGCCCATACTTCTCAGCCAGCCCCTCACAGTACTTCCTCTGGTGCAACCTCAGCACACCCTTTTCCACATCTCTCTCCACGTGCATCCCCAAGTAGTACTTCACCTCACCCATCTTGGAGCACTTGAACTGCATCTCCAGCATCTGCTCTGCGCTGTCCAGCAAAGCAGTGGATGCAGAAAAGAGAAGGATATCATCCACATACACCAAGAGCATGAGGATTTCATCCTTCTCCTGCAGCAGGAACAGGCTGGGGTCACACTCACTCTTCTTGAAACCCCCAGCCAACAGCGCCTCCTCCAACTTGTGATACCATGCACGAGGCGCCTGCTTAAGGCCATAGATGGCCTTCTTCAGCCTGCAGACCCTGCCGCTCCCGTCATCCAGCCCCTCTGGCTGTTTCATGTACACCTCCTCCAGAATGATCCCATTCAGAAAGGCAGTCACAATGTCCATCTGCCGTATCTTCCATCCCAGGAGTGCAGCTATCGCCAACAGCACCCTCAGTGTTGTTCCTTTCCCCACAGGAGCAAACACCTCATCATAGTCCTTCCCCTTTGTCTGCTGAAACCCCCGTGCCACAAGCCTAGACTTGTAGCGGGTCAGCTCCCCTTCAGGTCCATACTTGTGCCTGTAGATCATCTTGGAAGTGATTGCCTTCTTTCCAGGAGGCAAGTCACACAGGTCCCATGTCTCGTTCTCAATTAGGGACCCGAACTCCTCATCCTCACTCGCCTTCCACTTCTCCCCATTTGGTCCATTCAAGGCCTCCTCTCGAGTCTTGGGCTCAGGGATTGGTGCCCAGTAGCAGTGAGCGATCTCATCTTCCTCAATCTGCTCAACCACACTCCCAGCCTGCACCACATTTGGCTTGCCTCTTCCCCCATAGGTCAGCCTCACAGGAGGGCGCACATCCCTCCTAGGTCGCTCAGGCGGGTGTGGAACTCGAGGTGGAGACTCATGTTGCTGTTGCTGCTCCACTTCAGCTGCTCCCCCTTCTTCAGTCACCCCAGATATCTCCTCCTCAGACACTGCAACCTCCACCTGCCTTGAAGGCTGCTGCAACTCATCTGCCTCCACAATGAGTGGTGTAGATGGAAGCTTCTGTTGCTGCTGCTTCCATTCCTTATAGTACAGGGACTCAAGAAACTTCACATCCCTTGACACTGTCAGCTTCTGGATGGTCAAGTCCCATAGAAGCCATCCCTTGTGATCCTTTGCAATCCCCAAGTGCACACCCCATCTTCCAGAAGCCTCCAACTTCCCTCTTTTCTCCTTAGGCACATGAAACACTACCATGCACCCAAATGCCCTCAGCATATTCACAGCTGGAGCACTCCCATACCACTTGGTATATGGGATCCACTCCTTATCCCCAACTGTAGCCAGCACTCTATTCTTCACAAGGGCGACCTGCCTCAGTGCAGACACCCAAAACGGATCAGGTAGCCCTGCACGCCCAAGGAGAGTGCGTGCCCCCTCCTGCAGGGTCCTGTTGAACCTCTCAGCCACGCCATTCTGCTGCGGGTTGTAGGGCACTGTCAGTTGATGCTGGATCCCCTTCCTCTTCAACTCCCCCTCAAAATCAGCTCCAATGAACTCCCCACCATTGTCACTACGGATCACCTTCACCTTGTGTCCGCATTCCCTCTGAGCTCTCGGCATCCACTCCTTAAGGACAGCCGCTGCCACCTCCCCCTTGCTCTTCAAAGGGTAAACCCACACTGCCCGAGTGTGGTCATCCACAATTGTCAAGAAATAGCGGCTGCCTGAGAGGGAAGGGGCTCTTGTGGGCCCCACCACATCCATATGCACAAGTGCAAGTGGGGTCTTGGCTGGTCCTGTAGTGCTGTTGAAGGGGAACTTGGAGAACTTGGTCTCCAAGCATGTAGGGCAGCTCCCAATCTCCTTCACTCCCCCTTTCACCTCCAAGCCCTTCAGGCTCCCATCCTTCACCAACTTCTGCAGCATAGGGAAGTTCACATGACACAGCCTCTCATGCCATGTCTCCCAATCGGCCTCTCCACTCCTTGGTGAAGCCTTAGCCCATGCCGCACTTGCATCCACACCAGCAAGCACCTCACCATGTGTCTGCTGCTGCTGCACTTTCTTGACTGCTTCCAGGACCCCATCAGTTGGTGCAGTTGCATCTCCTCCTGCTGTTGCCTTTGCCGCTGCTGCCGTTGCTGCTGTTGGAGTCTTCCCATTCCATGGGATGATGGGCAGCTGCCACAGGTCCTTGATGCAGCTGGTCTCCTCTTCCAGACTCCACAGCACCTTCTTCCCAAGCTTAGCACGGCAGCTGGTTGGTCCAAAGGTCACTTCGGCCTTGCTCTTCTGCAGTCGTCGCACAGAGAGAAGGTTAGCAGACAAGCCTTCAACCAGCAGAACATTCCCAAGCCCCACAAGCTCCCCATTAGCTCCCTTAACCTTGGCATTCCCAACACCAATCACGGGGAGCAAAGCACCTGACGCTGCTGCCACATACTTAATCTTCCCAGGGGGTTTTACCTCATCAAGCAAATCTGCCCGTGGAGTCATGTGACTGGTGCAACCCGAATCAATCACCCAGTGCGTGAGAGGGTGCATCACAACCTTTCCGACAGATCCCACATCACCCTCATGCCCATGCACATCCTCAACCATGAGATACATCCCAGGATAGGCGTTACCTTGTGCACCTTCACCTTGTGCACCTGAGCCTTGCACAGCGCCACCTTGTGCGCGTTCACCACTTGGCGGCTTCATGCCTGGAGGTGACCATCCCTCCAGCCTGCTGAAGCACTTGAACCAAGGATGCCCGACCTTCTTGCAGTACCAGCAGGTGCCCTCCATTCTGGTACTCCCCCTGCCACTGGAGCTCCCATGCCCCTCATTATAGTCACCTCGGCCTCTACCTCTGCCAAAGCTTCTCCCACGGCCTCGGCCTCTCCAACCCCCTCTTCCTCTGCTGCGCCCTGCAGCTCCATACCCCTCAGCAGTCTTAGTGGCAGCACCGCCTCCCACATGGCGTCTGCGGAAGTCCTCCTGCAGAATCTGCTGCCTTAGCCACTCAGGTGTCCATTGATCTTGCTGAGAGTTGAGGGTGGGGATGAGGTTGTCCCAAGAGTTGTCCAACACCGAGATGATCTTGGTGCACTGCTGCAGCTGAGATACACTGCTGCCCGCTGCTGCCATCCTTGCATAGGTGTCCTTGATCTTGTCAAGGACCGGCTTCACATCGTCCCCTGGTCGCATGGAGATGGCAGCAAGTTCCTTCTCGAGCACGATCACCATCAGGAGAGTGTTGGGCTGAATCACATCGCGTAGTAGTTTCCACGCCCTTGGACCCGAATCATCCGCTTCCACAAGATCCTTGATGTGCTCGAACATCTCCTTGTTGACCGATTGAAGGATGAGGTCGAAAAGCACCGTGCTTTTCTCAATCCACCGTTCACGTGCTTCGCCTTCTTCCGGCATCTTCTCTTCCCCAACAGCAATCTTCAGTAGCTTGTAGCGTTTGAAGGCACTCCTCATCCGTCCGCTCCATTCCTCATAGTTGGAGCCATCCAAAGCTTCAACTTTTGATGGCGGCGGCTCACTTGTCTTCTCAGCTACAGCTCCTCTTCCATTAGCATCTCCTCCTCTCTCATTCATCTTCTCCTTGAGAAATGACGAATTTCAGCCCCCCTTTGCTGTCCACACTCAGCTCCCTCGATATTTTCACAAGTGTCGGCGTCCACGAAATTTCGGCAGAGTTTCCCTTAGCGGAAGACACATCCAACCTTTAGAACACCACTTAGGCACACCCACAGGCCATGGTGGGTCTAGAAGGGTCTTCACACTTCTGTAGACTCCTCTCAACGTCCTTAATACAGCTCTGATGCCACTTGTTAGGATTAAGGACGGAGTCTAGGTGAACTTAGGAGCTAGAATTACTCAAAATATAAATCCGAAATTCTGGACAGAAAAGTCGTCTTCACAAGAAACGACGTCGACAAACAACTAGCCGTTGGAATGTCGCGAAACTTGGATATGTTGTAGCTCTTAATCTCAGCTACCGTTCCCAATTTGAATCATGTTGATTGATAAAGTATTCGCGACGCTATGGCTTTCGACGCACTAGGGGGTAAGCTGTAGGAGGAGAACTTAACTCAATCTCAAAGGTTCAATCAAAGTTCAAGAATCTCACAAGGAATTAGAAGGAGCAAGAGAAAGGTTGGGATAGGAAGAGAGGGATGAGAGGGAAGGTCCCAAGAGAGTCCCCAACCAAGGAAACCCCATAAGCACAAAGATTCCCTCCCTATAGGAACCTCAACTTTGACCTTTGTCCCTTCCCAACCAATCCATCCAAGTTGGCCACCCTTGCCAACCTAGCTTGGTTGTTCCCAACCTATTTGCAGCTGTTACAGTAGAGTGACAAGTTTCCCCAACCCCAAAGGTCCCAACTCCATATAAAGTCACCCCACAACTTCACTTAGTAACCGCCGCAATTGTAACGCAAGCTCATGAACTTTGAATCTTCATAGCTTTCGCGTTGTTGCTCCAATTGAAGAGATTCTTGTTGCGTCGGAAAGATCTTCTCAAGATCTATCATCACAAATACCTGCTCAAACAAAATAACACATAACACATTCCCAAACTCCAGAACACACACCACACAAATGCTTGCACATTCAAACCACACATGCAAGTTGAAAACATGGGATGGGAGGCAGACAGAATGTGATAGCATATGATGACATCACACAACATCGCCAGCCCCGCGCTTCCTGGCCCAGCGCTCGCCAGCCCCGCGCCCGCTGGCCCTGTTCTCCTTGGCCCCATGCTCGCCAGCCCCGCGCTCGCCAGCCCCGCGCTTTCTGGCCCCGCGCTCACCAGCCCAGCGCCCGCTGGCCCCGTGCCTGCTGGCCCCGCGCTTTCTGGCCCCGCGCTCACCAGCCCCGTGCCCGCAGGCCCCGTTCTCGCTGGCCCCGCGCTCGCCAGCCCCGCGCCCGCCAGCCCTGTGCTCGCCGGCCCCCGTGCTTGCTGGCCCCCGAGCTCGCCAGCCCTGCGCCAGCTGGCCCCGCGTATGCCGGCCCCGCGCTCGCTCGACTCGCGCCCGCCAGTCCCGCGCTCGCTGGCCCCACGCTCGCCAGGCCCTAGCTCGCCAGTCCCCAGCTAGCCGGCCCCTAGCTCGCTGGCCTCCAGCTCCACCGGCATCGGCTCCGCCGGCCACAGCCCGCGCCGGCCCCGCGCCGTCCAGCCGCCGAGCCGCAGTGCCGTCGTGACGCCATTTCGCTGCACCGCCGCGCCGCTTTGCCGCCCCGACCTACCGGCCTTGGCTCCCTTCTGAGCCGGCACTCCTACCGACTATCTCCACCGCTCTCCACCGCTCTCCATCGCACTCCACCACACTCCACCACTCTCCACCATTCTCCACCATTCTCCACCGCACTCCACTTCACTCTACCGCTCCCCGCCGCCCTCCTCCGCATTTCCTCCTCCCCTTATCAGCGGCAGTCCGCTACTGCAGCCGTGGTGATGGCGGACTCACTGCTCCGCCTGGATGTGGAGGGTCGGGCAGTTGAGTTTGAGGCGTGGCTCGTCGACCTCCGCCGCCAGCTGACCGGGCAGCGCCAAGACAGCTACTCCCTGGCCGTCCATGTCAACAGTAAGCTCCCTCGCCCCGCCCCGCCTGCTGCCCTCCTTGCTACCCCGACGTCCACTGCGCGTGAGGCCTTTGTCACTGCCGAGCTTGCCTGTGCTGTCTGGGACTCGCGCAACGCTGCTGTTCAGCTTGCCATTAGCCACGCCCTCCCCCAGTCCGAGCGTCCGTGCTTTACCGTTGTAGCGAACGCCATGTTGGCTATCTTCAGGACTTTGGCGTCACCACTACGTTCCCTTGACACTAGCGGTACGCCGTCTGTACCGAGGCCGCCATTGGTGCCCCTCTTACCACGTTCCCCCGGGTCCCCGTGTTTGGCTTGTTCACGCTGGACACTTTGTCCCCCCCGGTGGGAGTGTCCCCCTAGGTCGCCGCGTCCACTTAGGTAACTGCAGCCTGCTCGTGTCGGTTGCTCACTCACCCTTCACTGCTGTGGCACCACCGCCTAGGTAACCCCGCTCTCCCATGTCTGCGTCACATGTCCCATCATGGGCTTGTTTGTGGTCTCCCTGCGTTGCTTCTGTGCACGCCCTGCGTCGAGGGCCGGCTGCATCGTGCTCCCCACTCCTCCTCGCTCCCCCCTACCACTGCGCTAGTCCAGACCCTACACATGGACGTTTGGGGTCCCACCTCTATCCCTGGGCCGCGTCGCGAGCGCTACTTTCTAGTGCTTGTCGACGAATTCATGCGCTACACCACAGTATTTCCCTTATAGCGGAAGGCCGACGTGCCTGACGCCCTTATCTCATGGGTCGTAGCTGTGCGATTCCACCGCGGCCTCCCCGTGATGCGTCTCCACTCCGACCGTGGCGGCGAGTTCGCCTCTGGTCGGCTTTGCAATTTTTGTCGTGCGGAGGGCATCACCCAGTCGTACACCCTGCCGGACTCCCCGCAGCAGAATGGGGTCACTGAGCGACGCATCGGTTTGGTGATGGAGGTGGCTCGTACCTCCATGATCCATGCTAGTGCACCCCATTTTCTGTGGCCGTTCGCGATTCGCTACGCCGCTCACCAGCTTAACTTGTGGCCACACTCCCAGCGGCCGCAGGTTTCGCCGACCCTTCTCTGGACCATGTTCCCTAGTGACGCGTCTGCGTACCACGTCTTGGGATGCCTTGCTTACGATCCTGCCTCTGATACGGACAAGCTTATTGCCCGTACCATCCCTTGTGTCTTCCTTGGTTTCCCCCTCGAAGCGTTTGACTGACACTTTTACCACCCGCCGTCTCACCATTTCTTTCACACCCGCGACGTCACTTTTGACGTGTCTGTCTCTTTCTACACCCGCTTTCCCCACTGAGGTCTCCCAAATACCACGTCCTGCCCCGTCTTGTGTGTCTCACCTCACTCCCCTCCCGTCGATTGTCCCAGTCGAGGAGTCGGCTGAATCCGGGGGCCCCGCGGCTTTGGTGTCATGGCCTGTCTCCGCCTCCTCCGCCGCCGCAGCAGCAGCCGCCATCGCCGCCGCATCCGCCATCGCCGCCGCATCCGCAGCAGCAGTCGTCACAGCCGCAGCCGCCAACGCCATAGCAGCAGCCGCCGCAGGGGTCCGCGAGCTCGGGGGGTGCGGGCATTGAGGAGGGCGCTAGTCTTGGGGTTACTGTTGTGGCTCGTCCCGACGGTCCTGTGGGTGGCACCGGTGTTGCAGAGGGCTCTCGCTCTGGGGGTGTTGACGTGGAGTGTCCCGGAGGTAGCCGTGATGTAGCATGAGGTCCTTGTGTCAGCGTGGAGCAGCAGACGCCGCCGGTGTCCGCCCTTTGCCTCATCGGTCTTCCCTCCCCTGACCGCCCGCCTGCGCCTCTCCCGCCTGTCTACGGTCCTGTGTTTCCTCCGCTGGACTCGTCTTCGGCTCGTTTTCCCCTGCGTTCTCCTCTTGTGTCTCCTCCTCTGTTTCCTGACCCCACGCATCCGTCCCACTTCTGGTCTCGTCGTCCCTTTCGTGCTCGTCCTGTTTCTCCTGTCTAGCGCTCTCACCCTATGTTGCTTCGTTCCCACGCGTCTTGTCCTCCCCTCCTCCCGTCACCTCCTCCGTCATCGCTGGCTGTCGCTCCGCCTCCCCTATCTGACTTTCTCCGTGCCGCTAGTCCTCTTGCTCTTCGGGTCCTCGCCTATCTTGTTACCCGACCCGTCTGTTCCTCTCTCTAGTCTTGACGCTCTTGTTGCTGCCATCACAGACTTTGCTGCTACCCGCCGCCTTGACTATGCCACAGCTCTGGTCTCTGACCCTGCCCGTCGGGAATGCACCTGCCCTCAGCAGTGACGTCCTAGCGGACAGGCAGTTTGAGCTAGTTGTCCTGTCCGAGGTCACGCCTCATCTCTGCTCCATGCTGCTATTCCTTGAGGGTGACCCAGATGTCTTTGACATCCCGACCTCTCGCACTTATGCTGAAGTGACCTCGCGACCCTGGGCCTCACAGTGGATAGCTGCCATGACACGGAGATTGCATCTTGGAGATTCACCGGCATCTTCGTTGACGTAGTTCCCCCACCTGGGGTGAACATAGTCGATGGCCGGTGGCTCTTCAAGGTGAAGCACCCTCCTTGAGAGCCGCCGGAGTTCAAGGCGCGCTACGTCGCTAGAGGCTTCAGTCAGCGCGAGGGTGTTGACTTCTTTCAGACCTTTGCCCCGACCCCGATTGTGACTACTCTTCGGGCGCTACTACACATAGCAGCACAGCGCGACTACAAGCTGCACTCTCTCGACTTCTCGACAACTTTTCTTCAGGGCAGTCTGCACGAGCAGGTCTACCTGCGTCACCCGCCATGCTTCACTGGCACCTTCTCCCCGGGGACCTAGTGGCTCCTCCGACACCCCGTCAATGGCACGACACGCTGCATGCTACGTTAGCTGACCTGCACTTCTTCCCGTCGTGTGCAGACCCCTCGCTCTTTGTTCATGTTGGCCAGACCCCGTTCTACATCCTTGTCTACGTAGACACACCTGCACTGACCTAGGAGAGCTGCGCTGCTACCTTGGCTTGCAGATCTCTAAGGATAGAGCCGCGCGCACCATCACTCTCATACAGTCAGACTTGGTGCGCTAGGTCCTTCAGAGGTTCGGCCTTCAGTTCTCCTCCGCACAGCCCACACCTCTGTCAGTAGATCACATGCTCTCGACTCCACTCTCTGAGGAGTCTGTAGAGCATAGTGGTCCTTACGCAGAGCTGGTGGGTTGCCTCATGTACCTGATGTCTTGCACTCGTCCATATCTCGCATACCCTCTCAGCATCTTGGCTCGCTTTGTTGCCACAGGCAGACACCGACCACAGCACTGGTCAGCCGCTAAGAGGGTTTTGCATTATCT